TATATATATATATATATATATATATATATATATATATATATATATACGTATAATTACTAAACTAAACTACTACTTACTACTACTATTTGATCCTTACGTCACGGTTTTTCACTTATTGTGGGGTGGGGTGTGTGTGTTGGCCGTAAACCCAGTGTTAAACGAGGGGCTAGTGTTTATGGATGCAGTTAGAGAGGACATGGAGGTAGTTGGAGTGAGGACAGAGTGAGCTGGAGGAGGATGACTCACTGTGGAGACTCCTAAAGAGGGAACAGCTGAAAGAAGGACATCAATACAGAACCTAATCAGATGCACTTTTAATTTTAATAAAAGTGAAATAAAACACAACTAATAATGATGTTTTATGCATCTGAAAGGAATAATTGAGAATAGCTGAATTATGTGTGAGGTACAAACCCAGAGAGTAAATGTTACAAAATCCTCTTGAACATTTGAAAGAGTGTTAGAAATCCTGAACTCTGGTTTTCCTGACTCGGTCTCAGTTTTGGAGACTTTGTAATTTAACTTTAACATTCATGAATGGTGGATATTTCTAATTTCAGTTTTAACAAAAAAAAAAAGCAACTCTGACAAAAAGGAAATGTATTTTTGACAACAAGGGTGCTAGTCTTAGATGCTTTGAGTCGTGTTTAAGTAGATTACGTAATTCAGTTTTAATGTGTGTGAGCTGGTTCCAGTGAGGAGTGGACGGGCACACTCAGATGGTCTCACCACCTCCTCGTTCTTCAAAAGTGTTAGTACATAACAGTAAGAGACGAAGCAGGTGGATTTCATGCCAACTCTTCAAGAAACTTTAAATAAATCACAGCAACGTGTTGATAAAGTTCTTTTGATGAGTTATTCTGAAATAGCACCGTTATAAAAGAGGCACTTTCATGATTCTTTGTAAGTCCATTGCTGTCTTTCTGCAGATTTGTCTTTGATATCCCATGGGTGTGTGAACTGGTGTGAAAAATGTGTTATGATTTTCGTGCTTCGCTAAGCCACAGCTCATGCTTTGCACAGAAAATGTAACAGATATAATGACACGTGCATGTTGGAAGTGTAGCTTTTATTGATCCAGTTCACAACAGTTTCTCACTTTTAGTTTTTCTAACATGCACAAACAAGCAAATTCTCTCACAAGGTATCAATCACACTCCTCTCAAGAACGCATTCTTCTTTTAGTTTACACCCCCCCCCCCCCCCCCCCCCACACACACACACACACAGATGTTGTTTGTGTAGCTGCAGGGAAGCATTATAAGCTGCATCCTCCAGTGATAGCCGGTCAGCTGCCTGACATATGGGTCTTTTAGTTAAAGTCATTCCTTTAGTTGTGAATGAGCTCATCAAAGTTCATCAAAATCTATATTGTAAAATGTTGACCTTAAATATGAAATAAAACATTTGATGCATTCATTCAAACATTGCTTCATACAGGTTAGTCTCATTGAGCCTCAAAGACTCATTTACAAGAGAGTCCTGTTTTAAACAAAGAACACGTAAGAGGTACAGACAGCAATAGGCGATCATATGGAAGAGGCCTGCGGAGCCCTTAGGAAATAAGTGTCTTGCTCAAGGACTCCATGACATGTGGGTGTGGTGGGGAGTTGAACCTGCAACATTCTGGTCTTAGCGGGCTGCCCTACAACTGTTCCACAGCCGCGCCATTGAACATCTCACACAGTAAACATTAAGGTTTACTTCATTCCCTGTTCAGTTCCAGCGCAGAAAAAAAAACCACTCATCTCAAAACCTACAAACACTCACTATCCAAATCCTTCAGCTTTGTGGCACATTGGCGTTCCTCTTGTTCCTTGAAGTAAATCATATTCAGTGCAT